AAGTTACTTAAAATCCCAATTGCTTCATTTTCTTCTTTTTTTTTTTTTTTTTTTTTTCTTTCAAGCTTATCATGGTTTTACTGGGAAGCAGAAAGGGCATTTTTGGTGTAAAATATATCAGGGCTTCAGCTTCCTGTCCTTGCTGGGCACACAGCTCCAGGCCCCCCAGTGACTTTGGTGGCCCCCACACTTCCACCTCTGCCTCAGTTTCCCTCTGATGCAGAGCTCTGTGCCCTGTCACAGTGCATAGCTATGGCAGGGGAGCCTGTCACTGTGTGTCACCACCCTGCAGGACCCTGGGGACAGGAGGGAACCCAGCCTCCTGCTCCAGGGCTGCTGTTTGCTGGATCTCCAGCTCCCACACCCCTTCCCCTGAACTCCTGTTCCCGTGTCCCTTTCAAGTCACAAAAGGGTCCTGTGTCACAGCCACCACAACCCTTGTCTGCTCTCATTTTGATGCTCCCTGGCTCCATCCCCAGTGCTGTCCCCACCTGATGTCCCTGGGCAGCCACAGCCAGCTGAGCTCTGAGTGTCCCAGGAGCTGCTGTGCCCACTTGGGGCTTCTCCCCAGCACTGTCCCCTGTCCCTGGGTGACACCTGAGCTGCAGGGGCAGGGACCTGCTCCCCCAGTGTCCCCAGGTGAGTGCAGACTGTCCCTGGGGCAGGATTTGCTTTTCCAGTGCTGGGACAGCAGCTGGGGGAGCTCAGCCCATCCTGATCCATCCTCCTGCCCCAGCGCTCGGTGACATTGCAAGGACACTTTGGTGCCCAAACTGCCTTCCCTGGGTATTCCTGGTGCATTTTTGTGGCATCTGCTCCTCGTTTCACCCTTTCCCAGGCTGTATCACGGGAGATGTCCTGGCTTTGTGCTGCTCCCACCAGCGTTAAGCCGGGAGCTGGGGACGGGCGGGGACACTGGGGACGGGCGGGGACACCGCGTACCACCGGGTGCTCAGGGACACCATGCGCTGCCGGCACTCGGTGCCAGGCGCTGCCTCGGGCACCCTGAGTGTCCCCAGCCGTGTTTGTGTCCCCGCGGAGCCGCAGCTGGCGGGGGTTGACCCCTTCAGGGCAGTGGCACTTGGGGACAGCGGCTGCTGATGCTGGAGTTTCTCTGGGGACTGAAGCATCTGCTGGAAAATGCACTGAAAATAGAGGGGGAGAATCCTGGGGCTGGTTTTGCCCCACAGAAAGAAAGCTCCCAAATAACTAGGCTTGATCTCAGAGGATTTTTCCAACCCTAAGAGTTCTGTGCAGCCCAGGGTAAGGGGGGAAGAGGGGGAACTCCCCAGGCTGAGGAGAGGCTGTGAAGGTGTGGAAAATGAGCCAGGGCAGTGGTGTTGGGTTATCACCATTATTGATGTCTGTGTGCTTTCCTGCCTCAAAGCAAAACAGGATTCCGGGTTGTGCTCCCATGGATTTACCAAGAATTTAATCCCTCTTCCAGCCCCAGGAGCAGCTTGGCCAGGAGCAGGACATGAGGTGAGCCTGTGCTGGCCCAGGGTGGGACAATGAGGTGGCACCAACCCACGTTTGTGTCCCCAGAACCAGCGCGAGGACAAGAGAAACACGGAGTCTGTGCTGAGCTCTGCTCTGCTGCTCATCCGGAGCTTCCCGTGCTTTAGGGGAAATGGTTTCCCTATCCCAGGCATGTCTTGGCATCTCCAGTGTTTTCTTGATCCAGAAGGAGGGCAAAAGATCTGTAGAATATTAAATTTTGAACAAATAAAGCGGCGATGCCAAAAATGTTGCATTTTCGTGTCAGGCTGGAAGGCGGCAAGAGTGTAAATTTTGGTCTGACAAAAAAAGCAGCAGTGATTAAAATGTTGTGACCATTGACAAATTTTCTAGAGAACTGGTTGAGAAATCCAGCAAAACTCATTCTTTCCAGTGGAAAGCCTTCACATTTCCCTGGATCTGCATTTTCAAAGAAGAATAGATTTTTATCAAGAATTTCCACCGAGCTGTTTCACTAACCCAGGCGGAAATTACCTTCCCTCAACTCCCTTCAATTACAGCAGCTTTGCTTTTCCCTTTTTGCTTGGTTTCTTTATTTTCCCTTTTCCCTCTTTTTTTTGGGGGGGAGGGTCTTTTTTTCATGATCCAGAGCTTCATCTGCTGCAGGAGCTGAAGGATATCCTGGGAAGTGCCTGGCACATCTCCCTCCTCAGGCCATCCTAGCTGGGCAGAGTGAGGAGAGGAGGGGAGAACTTCTCTTGTTCTGTGTTCAGACAGAGCCCAAATTAACCTAAATCTCCCCAGTCCTGATAAGATAAGGAAGATAAGGCGTCCTTTCACCCAGCTGAATGTACCTTCCTTTCCAGAGGGCTGCTGGAGGTACAGTTTATTTTATTTTCCCTGATATAGCTGCAGCTCCCATCCCAAATCTGTTTTATCTCATCCAGCCCATCCTGGTGCTACCTGGGGTGTTCTCCTGGTGAATGTGGCGCTTTCTCTGTGGCTTTGGGATGGCACAAGAGGCTGGTGGCACCTCCAGGACACTGCCCTGTGTCCCTCCCATCCGTAGGGCTGCT